TCTGGGGAAGAGAAAGAGTCAGGGACTTATAAAAACAAAAAGCCACAAGATTGTCAAAAGTTGCCTGGCAAGAATTGGGGATTGACTCTGATACAAGTCAGAAAACATTTGTCCTTAAGGAATCACGAATTGTTTCAGGGTAGGGGTCTGACAAGTAGATAGGGTGTCCCGGGTTTCTGGCAGAGGTTCTGGATACCCTCACCAGGTTGAAAGGTCAGATTCCATCCAGGCTGAGACACACGAGTCCCACTTCCTCAGAGGTCTGCTGGCTCCGTTCTGGGGACTGAGCAATACCGTCCCTGTTTCGATTTTCCTTCCACACCTCTTAGGATTTGAGTTAATCTGTGGAAAGCTTGCAGAAGAAGAATGTCTGCCCATAGAACCGCATAAGTGACAGCTGTTAGTGGAGTAGTAATAATACTTTCCCAAGGAGAAAAGCTCCAAATTACTGTGCCAATCAGTGAATGTCTTTTCATCTTCTAGGAAGGTGCTGCTTCAAACACTGAAATGTAAATGTCCTGTTATTTGTTTCAACGCCAAGGATTTTCTGAGAACAGTGATGCAGTTTTTTGGTGATGATGGCAGTTGGAAGTGTGGTATGTTTTAGTTTTTATAATCTCCTAAGCTTAACTTTCCAACAGTGATTCCTCCTGGGAATGGGAGCACGGCAAGGGCTGCCGTGTTGCACAGCTCGTGGGTTGGGGGCGGAAGGGAGGTCGCACAGCTGCGATGCACTACCTGTGTGGCCATGGGCCCTGAGCGTGAGAGGCACTTTCCCTCTGTGTTTTAGATTATTTGAATTTTTTCAAGTATATGTTACTTTTGTAATTTAAAACAGGAAAGAAGTAAATTATGCAGCATGGGCAGATGGGATTTGTTGTTACCACAAATAGCTTATATATAAACTTTCTAAGAATTAAACTAAAGTCCAGAGTAATTAACATCAAAACAATATAAAACACGTTTTTTATCCTTCATTTAAAATTGTAAATAAGAATTTTTAAAACCTTTTTTTATTAGATGGACAGATATGTAATAAAGCAAATACTGAAAGAATGTTCATTGTAGATTCTAGGTAGTAGATATATGAGTGTTGACTGTACAGTTCTTTTCAAGTTGAATGCTTGAAAATATTCATAACAAGATACTGGAAAAAAATCTTTTTATTGTACAAAATTTCCAACACGTACAAAAGTGCCTGTGATACGACAAGGAACGTATATTTGGTCTGTGTCCCTGGTTCCCAGCACTCAGCTCCCCAAACCCATATGGTCTCCAGAGTGAGGAGTGTCTTTTTTTTTTTTTTTTTTTTTTTTTTTTTTTTTG